CGGGGAGACAGACTGTGCAGAGTTCGAAGGAGGGGTGCTGGGGTATGGGGTGGGGATACAAGGCCCAGTGTCACGATTGAGCTCCATGGTCATGACCTCTCCTCAGTACTCGCCATGCCAATTGAGCCCAGGCCTAAGGGAGCAGGTCCCGAGAGTGGGTGGCAGACCTGACAACTACCTTATGTGAGCTCCCAGCGCACCCCTCTCCTACAAGCGGCCGCCTGGGTGATGGATGATGCTTTCCCACGCTGCAAAGGTCATAAGTCTGGGCCAAGGAGCAGACTGAATTGAAAACAGATTGAAGGAAGAGCTGGAGTGCTAGGGTCCAGGACACAACCCGCACTCCACACCTCTTTACTGGCCATTTCACTCTTAACAAAAAAAAAAAGAAAAAGGGGCCGGCCCGTGGCTCACTCGGGAGAGTGCGGTGCTGATAACACCAAGGCCCCGGGTTCGGATCCCATGTAGGGATGGCCGGTTGGCTCACTGGCTGAGCGTGGTGCTGACAACACCAAGTCAAGGGTTGAGATCCCCTTACCGGTCATCTTTTAAAAAAAAAAAATGAAAGAAAAAATGTCCTCCTTGGAGTCGGAAGATTGGTCAGCACAGCACGAAAGGGCAAAGTGGGGTACAGAGTGACTCCCTCTTCGACGCTTGCCTCTCAGCTGGGTTGAGGACCATAGGAATCTCCCAGTGCAGCTGCTAATGTCTCTGTAAGGCTCCTCTTCCCCACAACAGCTCGAGTTAGGGCCGGCGGGCAGCTGAGTCTGCTGCGTGGGGGCGGCCCAAGGTAGGCACCACCCATCCTGGGGGCCAGGAAAGGAAGCTTGCAGGCAGTCAAGCCAGGACGCACAGGGCTCCGAGTCCACAGCCCCAGGCGCCTCCTGTCACCACGACCTCATTATATTGCTAGGCTTACGTAGGCTAAGGAGGCCTGCTCAGGGGCCCCTGGTGACCTCTCTGTCACACTCCACCCCTGCAGGGCACAGATGGCAGCTCCTACGTATGAGTGGGTACCTGCCCCTGAGTGGGTGTGGGTGGTCAGGGATCTGTCTGTCCCCCTAGCAATTATGGGTGTCTACACCCCGGTGTGGTAGTATTTGTGTGTGTATCTGTTTGCACCCCTTGGTGTGTGAGTTGTCTATCTGAGCCCCAGGTATATGTCCGTGTCTGTGTCCCTGGGTGTGTCAATGGCCCTGAGTATGCCTGAATCTGTCCGGTTTGTCCACTTCCCACCCTCTACCCCCCATCTCTGTGATTTCTGTCTAAGCGTGAATGTATCTAGATGTGCATATGTGCTTTGGTGTGTCTATGTGTCTGTGCTCTGTTCACGCCTGGGTGTGCCCCCGGGTGCGGGCATTCCAGTGTGTGTGTGCCTGCAGGACTGTGTATGTGTGAAAATCAGGAAGAGTCACTGGTGAGTGTGTGTTGCTCTGGCGTCTCCGCCTGCAGGTGTGTGTCTTGGTGACAGTGCGTGGGCGTGTGCCTGGGTGTGAGCTGAGCGGCGGCGTGTATCCGAATGACAGTGTGACGCACGCGTGTGCGCGCGCGCGCGCCTGAGTGAGTCTCCCACCCCCGCTCTTTCCTCTCTCCATTTCTATTCCTCTCTCCTCTCCCGGCCGGCTCGGCTCCGCCGTCCGCATCATCTCCATCCATTATTGAAGAAACAGCCGCGTCCGCTCCAATCACATCAACACCCCCGCCCCTCCCCGTTCAGCTCGCCCCGCGGCCCCTCTGGGTGCTGGGGAGGGAGGAAACCAAGGCGCGGCGGGGGTGCTGGGCTAGAGCGGGCTCATGACCCGGTGCCCCGAGCAGGGCCAGGCACCGGAACGCCGGGGTCCCAGGCGGAGAGCGCTTTGCATAAACAGATGGCGCGGGCGTCTTTGTCTCGCTCGCTCTCTTGCCGCGCGGCTCCGGGCTCCGCTTCTGTCTGGCTGATGCAATCTTGATCATCTCCCAGCCTCGGGACCCGGCGCCCTTAATAGCGGCAGAGGGGGTCAGGGGCCCTGGGGCTCCCGAGAGCAGATGCTGGGTACTGTGTCATTCCTCTTGGGCGCCCCTTCCACACCCTACAGCTGCAACGGGAAGATGCAGGCCGCGCCGAAGTGATCGGCATATGGAGGTGACCGGGAGGGGGACCCCGGACAGTGCCCCGAGGTGTCCCAGGGCTGTCCCATTGGACTGCTGCAGCCGCCCAAGAGCAGCAAGCCAGAAAATAGGAGTAGAACTGGGGAATGGGGGGCGGGGAGGAGGAGAGACAGATAAAAACAGAGACAGAGAGGCATTTGTAAAGAGAGACACAGTGAGGCAGAAATGTAGAGGGAAAAAGAGACAGATACATAAAGACACAGAGAAACAGATGCAGAGGGACAAAGCCAGGTAGAGAGAGCCGCAGAGGTAGAGACAGAGACACAGCCAGAACGAAAGGGAACAGAGAGACACAGACATACCCACAGAGACAGAACTAGACAGAAATAGACAGGCGATCTGAAGAGGAAAGAGAAAGAAGGGCAGCTAGATGCTAGGACAGGCCGGGTCAGAGAGCGGAAGGCAGTCTTGGGACCTGCAGCCCCAGAGCAGAGATGAAGCCCCAAGCGTCTGAGACCGCCTAGCCCCGCGAAAGGAACCAGCCTGAACCCGGTGCTGCCTTCAGCTGGCGAAGCGGGAACTTCCACGTACCCTTTCCGCCCTCCAGCCCCACCTCACACCTGAAGAGTGGAGGCTGTGGACCCACTGCTTTTGCAGCGGAAGTGGCCGTAGTGACGGTCTGGGCGTGGACCTCTACACACACTCCAGCCATGGAGTTACCTGCCCGAACTCCGGGAGTGCAGGGCCGGCGCTGCCCGAAAGGGGGCACCTGAGACCTCTCCTCCGACCTTGGGAGCCGCTCGGCCTCCAGGGGGCGCCCGCGCCCACGGCCCCTGCCACCCTTTCGCTCCGCGGAGTCCAGCTGCGATTGACCTGCTGCGCGGCCAGTGCGCGGATTAGTATCCTGGAGCGGTTTTGTATTCAGAGTCCGGTCCCGGCGCGACCCCCGGCCGTGCCTAATCTGTGGCTAATGACTCCAGCCGTCCCTCACCCAGCTGGGGCAGTGTGACCTGAGTCCTTGTGGTGGGAAAGTGCGGGCAGCGGGGAGAGATGAGATGTGCAACCGAAGGATTCTCTGTCCTAGCTCGGTCCCAGAGACCATGATCCAGAGACGGGAACCAAAGATGGGAGGGGGCTTAGAAATAGACTCACAAAAACAGGGACCAGAAACAGGTGAAGGTTCAAGGAGTCGCGGAGAGGCAGGAGTGGAAGCAATAATGTAATACCGGAGCTCGGAAACCGGGACGGAGGCCCTAGGCAGGAGGACCAGCGGCGACTACAGGAAAGGAGCAAGACGGAGGGTCTGGGACACGCCAGGCTCGGGTCACCAAAACTCAGAAGAAAGGGCACAGGAGGGCAGGCGTGGGCCTGCGTCCCTCCTGGAGTCCTGGATCCCCAGCTGTGCCACAGAGAGCCAGATGTACAGCCCAGCTGTGCCGTCGCTCGAGCTCCAGGGCTGATTTTTAGTCCCAGAGACTGGAGGGCTGGGGGGCACAGGTGACAGGACACCCCCTCTCTGACCCGACCCTGGAGGTGTGGGCGCTCAGGGAGGGCTCTGTGCTGCTCGAGGCTCTGACATCCCATCAGTCCCCTACCCCTCCCCCACACACAACGCAGCGAGTCTCTGTCTCTTTGTTCTCGCCATGTCTCTGACACTTTATCTCATTATCCGCCGGAGGGAGGCGGAGAGCCAGGGACCCCGCAGCCTAATTACAGCCGCGCTTGTCAGCATAGAGGGCGGGGGAGGTACCAGAGCGCGGCAAAAAGATGGGGCCCCCAGGAACGGTCCTCTCCCTCCCTGTACCCCGAGGGGCCCAGCGGCGGGTGCTAGCTCGCTCCTGCCGGCGCCCGCCGCAGGGCAGGCTTTGGAGGGAAGAAGTGGGGGGCTCAGCAAGATCTGGCTGCGGAGGCGGGAGGGCAGTGGTGGTTATCGTGGGAGCAGGGAAAAGCGGTTAGTGTTCGGCCCCCAAGTCCCTTAGACCCTAATTCCCTAAAGACGGGTGCTGTGGGCCTTATCCTGGCAGCATACACCTGAGTTAACTGAAGAAACAGAGACAATCTCTCCGCCTTTCTGTCTTGTTCTCCCTCCTACTTCAGTATCTTTCATCTCTCTCCTTGGCTATTTCCCTCACCCCATTCTCTTCATCTCCACCCCACAGTCAGTGACAGAGGGTGGCCTCGTTGGGTGGCTCCACTTTCACCTCTACCCCAGGTAGGCAGAACAAGCAAGTCTCTCTAGCCTCCAAACTGCAACAACTGATTTATACTAGCCTGAGCAGGGATTAAGATATACCTAATTCTTCCACCCTCCAACCACTAAACCAGGCCAAACACAACTCGGAGAAACCTCCCAGGATACAAGGGGCTGGGGCAGCTTTAGTGTTGTCGGTCTGTCCCCCTCCTCCCCCTCCTACACTGTGGACAGGGGCACAACCAGGGTCTTCAGGACCTGCTAGCTCCTGGATGGCTCTTCAGGTGTCAGGGAAGTGCTGCAGATGCTGTCACTAGTCCTTGTTCCCTCCTGGTCCCACCTGTGAACACCCCACAGGAGCATTTTGCTGGAGGTCTGCTTGCCTGTCCCAATGCCATTCTTCCTCCCACAGCTGGATCCTCCCCATCAGTCTCTGGGTCCTGTGCCAGTGAGGTTTCTCCCTCAGATGCCAAAAAGCCCCACCTATGATGGTGTTCTGGGGTGCCAGGGTGCAGAATCTGAAGGAGAGAGCTGGGGAGCAGAGAACTCTTGGCTCCCCAACAATTCCCCTCACCGCTTTGAGCTTGGAATTGCGGGAGGAAGCAAGCTGCGTGGGGGTGGGGCAAGTATGAAGAATTGGGATGGGATGAGCCGGGCTGGGCAGGCTGACACCTCCCAGGCCGGGGGGCGGAACCCCAGGAGGAGGCAGAGAGCAGAGCCACCGGAGAGAACTGAGACACTGGAGAGGCGATATGGCAGGAACCAGTCTCGGGGCCCGGTTCTACCGGCAGATCAGAAGACATCCGGCGGTGAGTTCTGTCCTCAGCGCTACTAACTCCTAACTTTCTTGCTGCCCCCCCCCCTCCAATCTCCCAGTGCCCTGTCTCGTGCCCAGTTCCTCCAAAGCTCCTAATCTTCCCCCAGGGTTCCCCCAAATCTATCCCTGCAATATGCCCCCATATCCCTCGAATCTACCTTGGACGGGATCCCTGTAGTCAAGGGAGACTACAGCAGGAAATGTGGTTGTAGGCGGTTCCAGGTCACTTCTTCCAGAAGGGGGCGAGTGTCAGAACGGGGGG